AAGAGGTACTTAAGACACCCGAAAGAGAATGGGGTAGTGGCAGGATGATGATGTAAAGAGTAAACTAAAGGTATCACCTCTATCAGCAAAGATATTTTCACTAATTCATGAGAGAGAAAAACTAACATTTAATGAGTTTAACCCATCTAAGTTCATAAAGACATGAAATATGAGAACCAGGCATTTGAACACATAAGCTCTAAATCCAAATACCTGTGTTCTGAACCACAGTCAGCTAAGGGTGCTGTGCTCATTTGGCAAGGTAGAATGAAGAGATAACCATGGGAATGTACAAGAATTGTCAGTTAGCACTGAGTACACCCAAATCGGAAACCTTAAGTCCCTGGTGCAACCATTGTATACAGTTGTGTTGTTTACCTGCATTGATAGTTTCCCAGCCATTTCAACAATCACATAAAGGAGAGCCCCTGCGGTGTTACTTTTTTTAGGACTGGTTAGATGAAAACTTAAAGTACATCCAAGCAAACTTTATGCATAAAGAGAGACATTTATGAGCTTCCTAACAGAAAGTAAAAGAAAAAGGTTAAATGAGAATAGAAGAGCATGAACAGGTGAGCTCAGATCCCCAGGGTGTAGGGAGGAGACAAATAATAACAACAACAAAGTGTGATGCCATGGCACCTTAGGAAATACTGGACAGTTGGACTTATTGACTGAGCCTACCTGAATTGGTGAACTTCAAGTTCAGTGAGAGACTCTACCTTCAAAGAATAAGGTAGACAGTGATTGAGGAAGACACCAACCTTGACCTCCAGCCTCCACACCTGAGCCTAGTGTACTTATATACACATGCACACACACATACATACACACACACACACACACAGTATACACAACGTACAGAGTCAGAATGTCATTGCAGCCTATTTTGAAAACTGGATGAAAAAGAATGGCACCTGCAGACTGTAAAGAAAATGAATAGAAAGGATTGCAGGTGGGAATTTTTTTATCTACTTTCATACCTGTCAACAACATCCTGAAATATATTTGAGAAGAACTAGAGTTTATGACCCACATCAAGAAAATATTCAAAAGATCAAAGATCTAAGAATAGAGATATAAACACAGAACAAAGAAATAAAGCAGTTAAACAATGAACCATAGACACAATTGAATCCAAGACCAGGAGAGACAGCAGTAGCATGTAAGGGCAAATAAGGTTTCTTGAAACAAAATTCATAATAAATATAGTTTAGTGAGGTTTTAGAATAAGGCATGTTAAAATATTCCAGCCAAATTTGGAATTAACGAGAACAAGAAAGGTGAGATGAAATGATTTAAATGTCTCGTTGACCTAGCTCAGACCTATATTGGGTCCATGATTGTCACTTGAGTCTCTGTGACCCCCTGTGTAGTTGGTTCTGTGTGCTGTATTCTTGTGGTGTTCTCAACCCCTCTAGCTCATAGAATCCTTCCTCCTCCTTTTCTTCAGGGGTCCTCCTGACTTCACCTAGTGTTTGGCTATGGGTCTCTGCACCTACTCCTGTCAGTTGCTGGACTATACCTCTCTGATGGTAACTGGGATAAGCACTGACATAGTCACCTACCTTGGTGTTTCTGTGGGACCCCTAGCAGTGGGAGTGGGGAGTATCTATGGCTCTTTTGTCTCTACTTGGGACCCTTTTCCTTATACGAGGTCATGTCATCTAGTCTTGATATGAGCGTTTGTTCCTAGTCTTATAGTAACTTGTTATGATGTGGTTGGATGATGTTTCTGGGAGGCCTGCTCTCTCTTATTTTTCCCCAGGGAAATAGAGGAAAAAGAGTGGATCTAAGAGAGAGTGGAATATGGGGAGATGGAAAACTGCAGTTGATATGTAATTAAATATAAAGAATTAAAATTTTAAAAGTCTTGTTGATATGTGTAAGGAGTAAAAGTATAAAATTTGTGTGGAAGATATCTTTTCAAATTTCCACCTTACATGCCTAAGTAAAAAGTTGATAGAATCCTTAAAAGTAATAGGTAACTCATAGTTTTAAGAATAATACTTAAGCCGGGCGGTGGTGGCGCATGCCTTTAGCCCCAGCACTCAGGAGGCAGAGGCAGGCAAATCTCTGTGAGTTTGAGACCAGCCTGGTCTACAAGAGCTAGTTCCAGGATAGCCTCCAGAGCCACAGAGAAACCCTGTCTCGAAAAACCAAAAAAAAAAAAAAAAAAAAAAAACTTAAAACCTGAATGCACTAAGCTGTTGAGAGATTAACTTGTAAAAATGAAAACTTGGAAACAGAGGGAAAGCTTCCATTGCCTGTCAGTGTGTGGAAAAGGTCGGCATGTTCTCTGAAGGGGATGGACAGTGAGAAAACATGCAAGGAAAGGAAGAGAGCAACCAGTGTGCTTGATTACAAAAGATGATATATTTAATAAATAATGGGCCTTTTCAAGGAGAATAAGCAAGAGTTCAGCATGCAGTTGGCTACATAGATACCCTTAACAACTTTAGATGAAAAATAGACTCTGTAGCCCAAATTTTCTGATCATAAGTCAACAATATTAAAAAATATATAATAATAAGTAATGAAAGCTTTAGGCATGTTCTATTACTAAGATCACTGAACATATACAAAAGCAAAACTATAAACTACCTAGAGGTCAGTGAAAGACACAATTTAATTCCAAACTGGGTTATATTGTGTAACTCATACTCAAAAAAATTTATAGTTTTAAATTCTTCCTTAATTAAAGAAAAATGTGCCTGGGTGTGATAGGACACAATTCTAATCTCAATACCAGGGAGGTAGAGGCAGGGAAATTACTGTAAGATTACGGCTGTACTATCTGTTTAATGAGTCAGAAACTAGACAGAGCTACAAGGTAGATCTCATCTCAAAAGACCACAGAAGGATAAAGATGAAAAAATAAAGGTAGTAATTATCTTTAAAAATTACACATAAAAACAAAGAAACTCAGAAGACCTGACAGTAAAGCCCAGGTCATAGAGCCCAGAACCATGTCCTGGACTAAAGTCTCGGCCCGGTAGCCCAGGTGTTCTGGGAAGACATGTTTGAGAAAGAATACACAGATAATTCTCAGGAATAATCCCAGTGCTGTTAAGTTTGTCTTCCCCGTGTTATTTCTCTTTTTCTCTGTTTCCTGCCTAGAAACAAAGAGGCTATGTTGGGAAAGGGGCCATGCATGTAGGATTCTGTTTCAGGGTAATCCTAAGGCTAAAGGGGATATTGTACTCAGGTCACCTGATCTTGAAACTCCTGCAAAAATTTATGTGAAGAGAGTCACACATTTTAGAATGCCGAATCACTGAGACACGCCTTTTCAGAAGTGTAAAAGAGACCTCCTAGCAAAGGGCCTAGGTCCTGCCCTGGATGAAATGACAGACTATGGAGATCCCCCCAAGGAGGGACTCACCCTCCCTGGGGAATGATGTGTGGGGATTGGGTGGAGGGCTGGAGGGGGTTTGATGTAGGGACAAGGGAGGAGAGGTGGGAGAGGGAGCTGGGATTGACATGTGAAGCATTCATGTTTCTAATTTAAATAAAAACTTATATTGAGGAAAAAATTATATGCATATATAAAAGCCATATAAGATTATTCCATTAAAATATAAAAGAAAAAGAAAAGAAAACAAAAAAGATTATAGTTACGTGGACTGACGGGACTCACACTAGAACATAAGTTATAATGTGTTGGGTTTACTTTTAATGGTCTCTTTGGATTGTCTTTTGTTCATCTTACCTTGCCACAAGACTCTCAGCAGCAAACTAACCCTTGAGCTTCAGTAAACCGAGACTTATTGCAAACCCATTCTGAAAGCTGGCATTTAATATTGTGAATGGGGGAATTCTTTATATAGTTACTGGTGTTTGCTTCATGACTTAAGTAATCCCTTTGCCTCTGAGCTTGACAAAGGTCATTAAAGATCAATATTCAGCTTGTGTATTTTTACTCATTTTGAATAAGTCTAGGCTTTAATATATCTGAATTATTTGAGTTTTAAATGGTATTGGTGAAAAACAGGACACTATGGGGGAAAGTACTAATTGCTTTCCTAAAAACTTGGGGGGAAAATTCTGCAATGAGAAATCTTCTCTTTTGTATGTTCACTGTGAGTTAGAAAGAGGTTGTGTTTGTGTGTGTGTGTGTATTTTATAGGAGAATCATAAGCTTATTAAACGTCCAGAAATATGTACTGTCACAGCTTGTCCTGTATACAGCAGAGTACTAGCTTTTTACATAGGTTATAACCTTTATTTATTCCAGTGAACCCAGCAAATACTAGAAATAATTGACAAACCTATTTTTAATTCTGATTATTATTCTACTAGTGAAGTTTTTGTTTTGGCTGTCATGTTTGGAGGGTAGCCATACAAAGGAACCTTTGAAAACTCTGAATTATGCAATTGTCAAGACTAAAATTGTATGTGCATGACACCTTCTTATGTACTTTATACCTATTTAGAAAAATGGAATCAAGATTTATCTTAAGTTGATTCTTCTTTTTTTCCTCATCAGAAGAGCCAGGGAAATTGCTTTATTCCATTGTTCATTTTCCTATTGATAATATTAACCACCTCAAACAAATAGCCTCAGGAAAATGTAATGTGTTCAGATAAAGGACTGAGAAGTATTGTTCCCACCATCAGTGCAGTTCCAAATATGGTAACTGCAAGGTTCTCCCCTTGTCCATTTCTTTCTGAAGCCAGTTTATGCTACCTATTGGACCTGGCCATGTTGCAACTTCCCATAATGTGGATGTCCATCTGGCCTTCCTCAGCAGGCTGCCTTAGTGTGTGTGTGTGTGTGTGTGTGTGTGTGTGTGTGTGTGTGTGTGTGTGTGTACATTCATTGTCTTGCTGCATGTTGTTCGAAAGTGTGATAGTTACATTTCCAAAGTTATCAAGAGTTAGCACTCCACATTTTACTTTTCCCATGGATTTTCTAAAGTGTGTTCCTCTAATTTCATATTCAGAAAGCTCAAACAGTGGTCATACTTTGCGCTTCTTTTCTTCATATCCATCTGCAGGATGAATATAAGCCAGAGAAGGCTTTGTCAGAGGAAGACTTGAAAAATGCAGTGAGTGTGCACCACGCCCTAGCATCCAAGGCCACCGACTACGAGAAGAAGCCGAACGTGTTTAAACTCAAGACTGCCGACTGGAGGGTCTTGCTTTTCCAAACCCAGTATGTTTGTTGCTTTTGTTCTTATTTGGTCTTAGTCTCCTCCTCCTCCTCCTCCTCCTCCTCCTCCTCCTCCTCCTCCTCCTCCTCCTCCTCCTTCCTCTCCTCCGCCTCCTCCTCTGCATTGTCCTCCTCCTCCTCCTCCTTCCTCTCCTCCGCCTCCTCCTCTGCATTGTCCTCCTCCTCCTCCTCCTTCCTCTCCTCCGCCTCCTCCTCTGCATTGTCCTCCTCCTCCTCCTCCTTCCTCTCCTCCGCCTCCTCCTCTGCATTGTCCTCCTCCTCCTCCTCCTTCCTCTCCTCCGCCTCCTCCTCTGCATTGTCCTCCTCCTTCTCCTCCTTCCTCTCCTCCGCCTCCTCCTCTGCATTGTCCTCCTCCTCTTCTTCCTCCCACTCTCCATGTAAAGGACAAAAGGGAGAACCAGCTCTAACCTCCATACCCATGCTTTGTCACCCACACCCCCACTGACCCCCACACCCCCCCACACGCACACACATCATACATACATAGTAATATTGACATACAAATCTTTGTGTATCAGTGTTTCATCTCTCTTTTGTACCTATTTAGAGTAGAATTACTGGGTTGTGTTGTAAATATGTAGTTAATATTTGAGGAAATTATCCAGTTAATATTTGAGGAAATTGTCCAGCTCTTTTCCACAGTGGTCAGGCATGTCTCTTTTTTTTGGTTTTACGAGACAGGGTTTCTCTGTATTGTTTTGGAGGCTGTCAGTCTAGCCCGGCCTCGAACTCACAGAGATCCGCCTGCCTCTGCCTCCTGAGTGCTGGGATTAAAGGCATGCGCCACCAGGCATGTCTTTTTATTCTTCCTTCTACTGGGTAATAATCTATGGGGCCTTGGGTAGTACTTATCCCTGGCATACAAATGGACTTTTGAGTGCGCATGCCACAATATGGGAGGCTTTCTTATCCGGGACTCTTGGGGGAGGGCCTAGGCCCTGCCCTGGATGAAATGACAGTTACTGGAGATCTACAATGGAGTGCCTCACCCTCCTCAGGGATCGGACTGGAGATTGAGAGAGGAACTGGGGGACCTGGTGGGGAGGGAGGGGGAAAAGCAGAGGGAGAGGGAGCTGGGATTGACATGTGAAACAAGATTGTTTCTAACCTAAATTTAAAGAAAAAAAATAGTAAATTAAACCTCCTCTATCCTTAAAAAAAAAAGATGTGTGATTAATAAAGATGAGTTAATTTTAATTGATTTTGGCCTACACTAGCTTCCAAAAAAAAAAAGAAAGAAAAGAAAAGAAAAATAAAGAGGTAGAGTTACATAGCATCTATCCCATTTTCTGTATGTATCTTAGAGAGTCACAAGCTTGCACTGAGGACATTCTATAGCCTTTGATTCCCGTATGAGCCCTGTTGAGAATGTTAACCCCCAATGAACTTTTACTCTAAGAACAAATAATCATAAAGTGCCATTTGAAGTCAGTGATCAGAAAGAGACAAAGAGCACTCTGCCTGGATCCAGCGCTATCCTAACATCCACGTGCCTTCCTCTCTTAGGAGTCCAGAGGAAATGCAAGGGTGGATAAGCAAAATTAACTGTGTTGCAGCCGTATTTTCTGCGCCACCATTCCCAGCAGCCATTGGCTCTCAGAAGAAGTTTAGCCGCCCACTTCTGCCAGCCACCACAACAAAATTATCCCAGGTAAGCCAGTGTGATTAGGCTCTGCACTTAGGAAAACATGTCTTACAATGATATTAATATTAACTAATTTTTAATATTGGCAGGTTCTGTATATTTCACTCTGTCTTTTAATATAGCCTTGTAAGAGTGAAGTACATAAATGGGCAAATGCAATGTACTCTGTTTTCCACGTCAAACACCTTTGCATGCTTTTTTTTTCAGTCTTAATTTTCTGTCACATGCCTAGGGCTGGAGCAATATCCTGGCTTGGTAATGAGCTTTTCACCCTTTCTCCATTTACTGTTTTGCTCCATTTACTGTTTTATGGAGGAATATAAAAGTATTTCCATGATTCCCTTCTCACTGTAGAGTGAGACCCTGGGGTAATTCCAGTTTAATTCCTTGCCCTCAGGGAAGAGGTGATAGCATTCATTTCCCCTAAACTCATCAAAGTAAAGAGCTGGAGCTCTTTTCTGGGCTCATTTACATAAACTTATGTCTTTGCTGTTGTCAGATTAATCTATAGATTATCATCATACCTGCTCCCCCTCAGAGATATCATCGGAGGCATTGCCAGCATTAACCATGCCTGAAATAAGCCCCACTACCCGTGACCAGTAAAGGGTTTGGGAGGTTACTTCAATATCTTTACAAACTTTTTGTTTCTTACTACAGAAGACATTGCATCCAACTGGTAGGTCAGACCCTGATGTTAAGAAGCAGGTTCCTTGTAGTTCAGTTTGTTGGCCATAAAGAATACTAAGTCCAGAATTCTGGATGGTACAAAGGTACTAGGTGAAAGATCTACTAAGAAGTTTAAAGGAAGACAAGCTAGTATACTTAGGTGTGTGACACAAGGGATAGAATGATTAGAGGGAAAACACTGGGTACAGGAGCTAAGTCCGTGTTACTATGGCCTGAGAAGCCTTGTGACAAGCAGAACAACCTCTGAGGAGGTAAGCCAAGGCTATATCATAGAAGAACTTTGTCCTAATCTGTTCTACTATAGCAGAATACCAGAGTCAGTAACTGATTTAAAAAACAAAATTCACTTCCTTTCCTGTGAGGCCAGGGTCATCCTGCCCTATGGCACTCTTGTAGAGCATCAGCTGGAGAAGAGAACGAGAGGCTGAATAGGAGAAAGTTGAGGGTGTCAAACTGATTCTTAGCAGCCCACATCTCTACTCAAAACAATATTCTCCATCATCCTCGAATATGAAACTCACTCAGCCTGGTCACCTCTTCACAGGCCTAACTCCCTATCTCCACAGTGGAAATTAAACTTCCATGGACATACTGGAGGGGACACCAAACCATCACATGTTTGCCATGAGTAGGATTTTGAATGCTTTGGTAGCTGCCCAGTGTCCTCAAGACAATAGCCTCTAACAGAATAAGAATGTGATCCAATCTGTAATGTAGACATTATGATTGTTACTTTATGACAAGAGTTTAAAGAAGATAGTACTAGAAGCACAAAGGCCCTTGAAGGAGCTTTAGCAATCCGGAAGAGAATACCTAAAAGCTAGCTGTGGATAGACATGGAACCATTTGAGCATGTGACTGGGCAGTTCTAATGGCAGGGAAAGACAGGAGGAAAGACTGCCACCTAGGCTTGAGAGCTGAGGACTGGCTGGTTCCTAACCTGGTTTGTGGATCCTTGCCTCACTGTGTCCTGATTTCCCTACTCTGCCTCTCCATGAAGTCCTTTCCAAGACCCTTGTCTTCCTTCTGACCCTGATTATTATAGTGCCAGGGCTTGGAAACAGACTAAGGCACTAAAGAAAGAGTTTCTCTAGTTATTTAGGTGGGAATAGCCAGCTATGGTGTATCTTCATTAAGAAAAGCAGAAGGGAAGTCAGATAAAATAAAGACAGAAGTAGGTTCTACTAGGTGGCAGAGGAGTCACTGGCTGAACTTGATGAGAATATTTTGACTGCAGTGATGGGGGTTGAATCTATACTGGTCTTTTTTTGATGAGGGAATGCAAGCTGATGAAGATGGAGAGGAAGTGGGCACAGGATTTCCAGAGTTAAAAAGAAAAAGCCACCAGTAAGAGAAAGTGACATGGCTTCAGGAAAGATTACCCTATGTTTTGGCCTTCTTTTAGACATTTACTATATGTGCGCATAAACATTACTTTCGCTGTGAAATTCATCTTCAAACGTATTAGGGATAGAAAGAACCAGGCATGAGGGAAGAGTGGCGTTTAAATGTCACATAGAGTATATACGGTGAAACATTGCCAGATCTTCCCTGAGGCGAGAGTGTGTCCACTCCTGTTGAGAGCCACTGCTTTTCCCCGCAATTGTGTACCTGAGAACTTCAGACCCACAGAGCCCCAGTCTAGTGGCGGCCTCCCTGAATACCAGAGGCTTTGTGTAATTTGTTTTTATTTATTTATTCTTTCAAATTTCATTTTACATTTCAACCACAGTTCTCCCTCCCACCCCTCCTTCACCCCCCCATCTCCTCCCAGACCACCCCCAAACCACTCTTCCTCATGGGTAAGGGCTCCCTTGAGGAGTCAACATAGTCTGACACGCAAAGTTGAGGCAGGGCCAGACCCCTCTCCCATGCGTTAAGACTAAGCATGGCTTCTCACCCTAAGGAATGGGCTCCAACAAGCTAGCTCATGTACCAGGCTTGTATTGTGGACCTACTGCCAGGGACCCCTCAGAAAGCCCAAGCTTCACAACTGTCTCCCACATACAGAGGACCTAGTTCTATCCCCTGGAGTCTCCTGCTTCATAATTTGAATTCTTAAAGTTTATAACAATAAGTGAGCACTCTTCTGGAAAAATAGTGTTAGGAAAAATTAAAGGTTCAATTAAGAGTGTTTGCTGCTTTTAAACACATTTGTTCATTATCCTGTCACTTTTGGGCTTCTCTTTAATTTGTTCCTGTCTTTCCTCCAAACATATTAGCCTGAATTATTAAGACTGATTGCTGCCAGTGTGGCAGAGCTCTTCCTGAACAGCCCTGCTGTGTGGGAGTCACCTTCTCTGTTGTTTTTGCCGTAGAGCTGCCAGAGTACATTTTTCTTCTGTGTGTGTGGGGGGGGGGTGGAGAGACTACTTTAAAAATATAAAGTTTTCCTCCTCCTCTTAGTGTAGCTGTCCAAGCAGAATGTCATGCCCCACTACACACACCTTAGCCACCAAAGCAGTCCTTTTCAATCTTGGTGGGCACAGAATGATCTGGAACTTGTACCACAGGCCCAGTTTGCAGCTGTGTGCGATGAGTAAGACCCAGACTGAGCCAGGACCTGTGCGTGTGTCTCAGATATGGCAGTAGCTGACTAGGAAGAATGGGGGGGTGGCATGTAGACTCATGACAGTGGCACTCTCTGCCTGCCTTAGGTCTTTCACCACTTCCGAGCACCCACATCTCCTAAAGTTACTGTTTCTTGTGTCTATTCCTATTGTCTTTAACTCCAATCATTTTCCTGTGTAAAAGTTTGAAATGAAGGGTCATGAGAACTAAATACTGCATTAACTCATGGCAAGCCACAAGACGAATGCTGGTAAGAAACAAGAGTCATGTGCTCCCTTTTTACGTTGAAGTCTCCACCTCTGACTAGGTGGTAGGTATTAAACCAAAGCCTCTTGCATACCAGGATAGCAGTCTACTATTGAGCTACAGCCCAGCGAATTCCTCCTTTAGTCCTGTGGTTTGACCAAGGATGGGAGTGCTAAGGGTCCACCGAGAAGACACTGGGAATGTGTATGGTATGACAGAACGGCCTTCCTCACTGGTCAGACTATACACCTTACCCATACACACTTCGGCAGTCAGTCACTCATGCCATGGCCTCCTGTATGTGTGTGTGTGTGTGTGTGTGTGTGTGTGTGTGTGTATGTATGTATGTATGTATGTATGTATGTATGTATACATGTATTGAAATGTCATGCTGACCCTCATTAATGAATACTGTTAATACAACTAGAAAATGTTAAATCCAGGGGCAGTGAACACATCTTTAATTCAGCTACTTGGGAGAATGAGTCAAGAGAACTGCTTCAAAGTCAGCCTAGGCAATGTATGGATTAATTAAATTTAAAAGACAAAGCATAAAGTACCCTTCAAAATAAAAATACTATTAAGTAAGAGAAAATGAAAACTTTTAAGTTTTAGTTGACTAATATGAATTGTCTATATTTATATGTACAGAGTGATTTTATAGTATGCATACATTATGCAATGATTAATCCAGCTAATTGATATATGTGCCACTTTTGTGTTGAGAACATTTGACATCTCTTTTAGAAATTTTAAGGGCTGGAGAGATTGCTAAGCTGTTAAAGGCTAGGCTCACAACCAAAAAATATAAGAAATTTTGAATTATGTATCATACTATTATTAATCATTGTCTATGATATACTATAGAATTCTTGAATTCTATTCTTGAATGTATTTGTCCTGACTGATCTTCGGCCAACGTTTTCTTAATCCTCACAATCCCCAGCCTAGATAGCCGCTATTCCACCATCTAGTATCATGGGTCTGACTTTTTTGAATTTCCCATATAAGTAAACTCTTGTACAGTGTTTATTGTGTTTTCATGTTGTAGTATGTGACCAGAATTTTATTTTTTAAGGATGAATATATATGTCACATTGTTGGACACATAGTTTATGCCCATATTTTAGACATTGAGAGTAATGAGAGTGCATGCATTTTTTTTATATTATTTCATTCCTTTAAGTATATACCAGAATTGGGACAGCTGGATCATCTAATAATTCTGGTTTTAGTTTTGCAAGGATCTTGCATGCAGTTTCCCATAACTTCCGTGCTGTCATGTGTCCTCACAGTTCTGAAGCTCTGCAGATACAATGTCCCGGTGCCAGCAGGGTCAGAGTCTGAAACACTTCCCTTTGGGCTGCAGATGACTGCTGTCCTTCTAGCCTTTCCTTGCTGTGAAGCAAGCATGCAGAGAGGTCAGGTTCCTAGTGTTTCCTAAGGACACTGGGCCTTACAATCTCACTGGCCTTGAGCTTACATTTTCAAGGAGAGGTACATAGGGGTTAGGCCCTCAGCATATACACTTTAGAAAGGGATCCATATATAACATGGTCTATATACTCCTTGTCAGAGCATAATAGTTGAATGAAAAATTATAAACAAATCCCTCTTGAGAGTTTTTATTTATTAGTGCACAATTGATGGGTTTTCCAAAATCTTAAATATATCTCTCTCCAATTTTTGCTAGGACTACTTTGAGTATTTTGTTGTACCTGGTACGTCAAATGATTCTGGTCCTATTTTCATCCTTCACTCCACGCTCCTGTTTTTGCACTCTCTTAGTTTACGTTTCATTTTTTACTTTATATTTAATGACCTCAAATGTTCAGGTTATTTTCTTTGGGCTCTAGGGAATCTCACTGTGTTAGAGGACTCCATGATACTGTATTTGACTCATGTTTTCTGGGTAACTTTTTCTTAAAATATTACATAGTCTTTAGTTTTGTAATTATTAATTTTCTGATAGCTTTAAAATCCATCTCTATTCTGCCGTAAAATTTTTATGATATAGACTCATGCTTTTGTTATGTAAAATATGTTGGTTCCTTTAACTCCTTTTCATCTGCCATCCATTTGTTTTATACTGCACATGTAGAATTGCTCAGGATTTTGAACACTTTTCATCGAAAAGCAGAATGCTAAGAAGTTGCACAATTGTAGGGATGCCATAGAATTGCATGTTGAAAGCTATTGGATGTGTATTATGGGCCTATAATCCCAGCACTCAGGAGGTGCAGGCAAGAGGGTAGTGAATAAGTTTTAAGGCCAGCCTATTCTACTCATTGAGTCTCAAAAAACAAAATAGAAAGAAAGAAGAAAAGAATGTTGTAGGGTCCCAACAGGTGTCCCTGGGGGGTAGGGGAAAGTAGGTGCAACGTCAACAACACAGGCATTAGGAACAAGTTGAAACAAGAAGCTCAGTTTATTCCAGGGAGGGGTAAGCCTTATATACTCCCCAACCCTGCCCCAGGGGAGGAGATGCCCTGAGCTGGCATCTGCTGAGGCAATGTGGTAGCTGTCCATAGGTCCACTTCATCTCTCGTCTGCTGTGGTCAAGGCCCTCTGCCAGACCCAGGCTGGGGTGTCAGGAAATATCTACTGCCCATGCTCTAGGCCAGCTGTCAGGCCCATTGACTCTTAGTTTTCCCACAAATGAATATTGTCAGTGTGTTCTGAGAGAGCTGAACAGTTTAGCTATGTCGGTAGTATACTACTAAGGTGATGTAAATGGTGTCCAGGAATAGTGACAGAGATGGAGGAGTGATGAGCAAAGGGGTCAAAACCATGCTGGTGAAACCCACAAAGACAGTTGACTGGGCAAGGGGGAGCTCTTGAACCCCAGACTGATGGCTGAGAGGCCAACAGGGGACTGATCCAGACTCCATGAATGTAGTGTCAGTGAGGAAGCCTCAGAAATCTCTGGGGCCTTTGGTAGTAGATTAGTGCTCACCATGGCATACAAATGAACTCTGGGAGCCCATTTCACATGGAGGGATGCTCTCTCAGCCTGGACACATGGGGAAGGGCCTAGGCCCTGCCCTGGATGAAATGCCAGACTCTGGAGATATCCCCAAGGAGGGCCTCACACTCCCTGGGGAATGATGTGGGGATTGGGCTGGGGGCAAGAGAGGGGGCTGGTGGAGGGACAAGGGGGGTAGAGCTGGGATTGACATTTGAAGCATGCATGTTTCTAATTTAAATAAAAACATAAAAAAAGAAATGGTATGACTTTGTAATAAGAGGTTGGCCAGTGATGTTAGTCTCTGTTACATCCTAAGAAGGAATATGCCAACACTGGCTAACACAGTTGGAAGGACTTATAACCAAAGACTCACTGGACCATTTTGATAAATTGAAGTCATTAAATAGAAAGGATTTTACAGGCGTCTTGTGCTTCTCTTTGATTATTTTCCGAACACTGAACGACTTCATAATTTCCTGCAGGAGGAACAGCTGAAATCCCATGAAAGCAAGCTGAAGCAGATCACCACTGAGCTGGCTGAGCACCGCTCGTATCCCCCAGACAAGAAGGTCAAAGCCAAGGATGTCGATGAATACAAGCTCAAAGATCACTATCTGGACTTTGAGGTATTGTGAGCCTAGGTGTTACTGGGTGCTTGATTTGTGATCCCTCTGTGAAGTAAACCCCTCATAGCAGTGATGGTAGTGTGCTTGCCTTGTCCTGGCTCCAACTTAGGATATCTTCCTATAATAGGAGTCCTTGTAGCTTCTGGCGCTTGGGATTTTATTTAAGCACCAAATAAATATTAAAGTGCACTTCACACAGTCGGTCTCCTAGTAGGAAGAGTGTGCACCTGAGGTAAGGGTTAAAAAAAGAACAACAGTAAAGGAAGCCTGCCAGGAGGACAGCTGCTTTCTGTGACCGTGTGTTTCATCCAACAGAGTTTAGGTCAAAAGAAAGAACAGTGGAGGAAATGAGCCGCAGGGTGATAGGAGGCATCTGCTCACTCCGGCACACCCTTGCTGCTAGGTGACATCAGTACACGTTCCTCCACCACTCACCGCCCTGCTTTCCAGAGGGGCACTGATTAATTAGGTCTTGGCTCATTCACATTCCTCTGGTGTTGCTGGTGTGGCGATGAGAAAGGCAGCAGACTCCCAACCAAACTGAACGCACCTTCCCATGTGTACCCTTGCTTACAGTTTCTCTCAAATCGTAGCCAGTGTCCTCCAGCTCTCCCTCTTGACCTCCACCTTCAGATCCTTAAAGCAGCTTTGCTTTTTCCTAAAAATCAGAAAAAAGAAAGAAAAGCAACCGGGGAACCGTGTAAGCCATGAGTTTCTCATTTTTCTCACACTCTTCTGTCGGGCTCCATGTCCTCATTCTCCCTCGTTCCCATTTGTAACGCCAGTTCCTCCTCGGGATTGAAACTGGGGCATCTGAGCACTCGGATCCCGATCCCGTCTTTGGGGGGTTCTTTGCCACAGCCGCTGGCTGGGTGTCCCCTCTGCACCAGGCCGGCCTTCCTTCTGCCTCACGGGAACTAGCAGTTGTCTCTTGCTGTCTTTCCTGCCTTTAATTCGTTCAAAGTCCCTTTTCTTTCCTGTTCTGAGGGCCACCCTCACTGATAGTGTCACCTGCTCCGCAGCTGTCCCAGCTCTTACACCCAGATCCCCTTTATCTTCCAGATAAAGTTTCACACACGAATCTGAGAGGATTTGCCTTTCCCTCTTTCTAGACCATGACTCTCTCCACATGCAGCAGTAATATTTCTGCCCCTTCCCGCCCCATCGTATACATTGCTTCGGCTACTTCTGCCTCCAATGTTCTTCCTATGGTTTTCATTCTTTCCTCCTTGCTATCTTTCAAGGTAAGGCCCAAATCTCTCCTATGAAAATCCTGCTCTACACCCACCATAAAAGTCAATCTGCTATGGAACTCACTGTAGGTTGGCTCTGCATTGAGCTTGTATTTTTCTGTTGTTGTGTCTGAAGTAGATTCCACAGGCCCCCAATGCAACATGGCCAGGACCCTGTACATGCTTGTTGAAGCTGCTCCTTGAGCTGTGCCTTTACATGTAAGATAGACTTAGATGGTAGAGCCATAGATGACTCTTCTCCATGGGAAAGAAGTCCTTGGTCCAGTCCAAAAAAAGTCTAATAAAAATTGAAAGGAAGTTTGTTAACAAAAACTAACTGAAGCCTGACCAGCAAAAGACTTGAAAAATCAATGAAAAAAAAGTGAATAGCTCATCTTTGGCCAGGCTTGTTCATTCTTGGGAAATGTGAGTTCTCAAAAAGCAATCATTATTCTTCACACTTCTGGAATAACTTGAAACTATGGACTCATTTTTGTTTCACACTTTCTAATTAAATTTCCAAACACCTCACTCTCTTGCTTCCAACACTCAGCACCTTGCTTTGAGCCCTTGACTCTAGGAGGAGAGTTTTTCCCCAGGAGGTGAGGCCCTTGCAAGACCACAGGAAGGTAACCACTGCTAGCACGAAAGACCAGTGTGTGGGATCTTCTGTGGGGCCGTCTTCCCGACAATGGAGCCCAGCAAGAAACAGTAGTTCCACTTCCTGAGCACTGAAGTTAGACTGGCTTTAGGGAAGGTAGGTCTTGTCATCATTGCTTCCTCGAGGAAGGCAGTATTCCAGGACTTCACTCATTAATTAAAGTCAGACTCAGGCTCATGTGTCAAGTGTGTTGAATTGTCTGTCAAGCTGCATTAACCTGGGTCAATTGGAATGTCCAAGGGGTCCTTCCTGTGCGAAATGTCATTAAAAAGGGTTTCTGTGAGATGAGTAAATACTCTTGGAGAAGTGATTCATTGTTTATTACTACCTCAGATGAAAATTGAAGTAATGGGTCTTGGGGAATCTACTATGCTGTTAGTTCAGCCACAGAATTGATCTCCTGTGGGTGCTTGTGGAGGCCCTCCCTTTTTTTCCTTAGTAGAATGCAGGTGACTCTCCTGAATAGAAAGTGGCCCAGTTTGTGTATTTTGTTTATAGCTCTACCCCAGATCCTATTTACCAGGTCCTTGAAAATCAGCTGAGTGACTCAGTGAAACTTTTATCACAGCATATAAAGAAGGCATGAGAGAAATGAGTGCATTCAGAAAGTTTATGTCCTTTATGGAGGGACAGATGCATATGTGGCAGCAAATCCCATCAGCAGGTGAGAAGAGTCCTGCAGGTCCACAGAGCCTGTGGATCGTCAGTGACAGGAGGCAGGAGCTAAGCCAGCCTGCATTGTCACTCAGGAGGAACCACAGGACCTGTTCTCTTAGCTTTTGAGGATTGAGTCTCACGTACTCCATGGCAGGTCATTATCTAGAAGCCTCCTTTGGTTTCAGAACAGTTCTTGTCATTTTCTCAAGCTCAGAAAGAAAAGCGCATTTGTTTTGGCAGGATATTAAATTGTTGGTGACAACACCAGGCGTGTTCCTATGTTTTATGCATTTCAGCTATATCCCAGGTTGCTTTGAGGACAAATTATTCTTCATGGCAAGCCAAATTCATAGCTCTCTGTATGGCTAAGAATATCTGAAAGCCCTCACTCACAGTAAATAATTAGAAATTCCAGTAAATGGATAGGTTTAGGTCTTAAAGAAATCTACGGAAAACAAAGAAAATTTCATGTTAGCCTTGTAGGAAAAGGCTCATTTTTACCTAAAGCAGCGAATTTCACTGAGAATTGGCTGTAATTAACTAAGCCTGCATTTTTTGCTCTGACTAATATTTGGTGGAGAGTGGACAGTTTTGTTCTGTACTCAATTAGTACCTGAAACCATGGCCTTTTTTCTTGTAAAGCTTGCTTTTGGAAGGAGTATGCTCTGAAACAAAGTTGTTAAGCATCACAAGACCACCATAAAGGAAACAGTTGTTCCCTGGTTCTGGGAAGCACGTATCTGTGATAGCCGCATAGCCTACACACAACAATAGCTTATTTTGGCTTTATTTAGCTCCCATTTTATTATAAAGTGTTTTCATTGGTTTCCAAACTCTAGGTACATTAGAAAATGTATAAAGATTTAGAGGTAAGACAGATGGTTTGTAGGTAAGATAAACACTCATAAAGGTCCAGCCAGTGAGGCACAGTAGTCTAAGCTTTGCTGGGAAGCATTTATGTGCTTAAAGAAGTAACATCATCAAATTCCCTTGATGGCCTTGTCCTCAGCCCTTGTATTTCCCTTGAAAAAGCAATATCTACTAGAATTGAAGACACCCTTTATTTCAAAGTGTGTTTCATGCAAAGTTTAAGATAGTTGCAACAGGTAAGAAACTGATCCTTGCATTGATTTAGTTAGACCTGAGGAGAGAGAAGGTATATCAGTATAAACCTCTTAATCGTTGCTGGACTGTGAGACACTTAATCAAGAAGGAATAGAGAAAGTGAGATTGATCACAGGTTCACTAAGGTAATTGGAGAGCCATCTGCAAAACCAAGCCTAACACAATGTGCATAGATTGTATGTGTCAGCATGGTGTTTTATTTGCTTTGCTTGCAGTGGGAATTCATTTAAGCAGAAGAAGTTATTTCCTTCCTGTTGGGTCCATCATATCACATCCAGTAGCTCTACATCTTTGTTAATCCCTGAAGGTGTCTGAATCTTCCAACCCTGTTATGGAGACTGCAGCCAGTTGTATATGATCGGAGTGTTAGTTGGCTTCAGAATGCATCATGATATAGTTTGTGTACCACGTGAAATTAGCGTGTCAGAAATAACCCTCAATATAATAGTGTTGAATAGTGGATCCTAATAAGGGAATTCAACCCTCTGTTCCTCACTCACTCATGTCCCCTCTTGCATTCTCCCTTACACTGCAGTATGATGCTGCATGAAGACTCGTAATTCTTTGTTCTATATAAACTTCCCCACTTCAGGCATTGTCTATCAGCACATAGACTGGTAGATAATAAGTATAGAAAATGAAACTTTTTTCTGTAACAAATGGCTGGAAGTGTGAGAGTGACTTTGGAACTGGGCCATATGTAGGGGATAACACTGTTTTGAGATGAATACTGGAAAAGCCTGTATTGTCACAAATGAAGCATAAAGATAATTCTGCTAAGGGCTCATAGGAAGGAAACAGCTGACTAAGGTATGTCCCATGTTTCCTAGAGTGCCTTACTGGTGTTTGGCATAATGTAGACACTCTCCAGGAGCATGAAGTCTCAGAAATGAAAAACAGTGTGCTAAAACCTGGAGTCAATGCCATTCCCGGTAAACAGTTGCAAAGAACTCAGCAGAATTGGCTGTAATCTAGGCCCTTAGGGAAGGCTAATTTAAAATTAATAAATTCAGATAATATAAGAATTTTGTAAACAAAATACCAAAGAAGTAGCATGGCTACCTTTACTCACATACAGTAAAGTTAAAGAGGACAGAAATTGAGACATCATTTATCATTAAATGAAAGTAGAGCAAAAAGATTAGAAAAATTAACATGATCCTATAAAATGTGAAGAGACCTTCTTAGGAGCACAAACCATAGGTCTAGCCAGGCAACTGTTGGCTGGAGAGGCTGGCATGGATAGAAGCCATCATTAGAATGGTGGGAAAGAGATCCCAAGGCCACTTCAGATGTCTGAAGCTCACAGCTCCTGGAAAAGCCTT